ATCTATATTTCTATTTCATGATATTTATTTAATTCATGATATAAGAGTTACAAGCATATTAAGCTTGCAAAGTAACTAATTCGTTTATCAACTGAAATAATGATAGTAACCATTATTAGTACTTAAAGGTGATGTACAAACCTAAATCCTACACCTCCTATCCTCTTCTCTTATGATATCAAATTCTCAATTGTGATTATTTTAATTTGAAACATCTTATAATTTCAATGGCAGCATTAATACCCATAATTGGAATGGAAATTATGACCAGTAATCATACTTTAAAGATTAATAACTATCTCAAGGAACATAACTCAGAAGCATTCGAAACATAAAGGATAAAGATATGCCTCATAGTTTTGCCAATCATTTCTCTTTTTATACTTCGCTCGTTATCAACATTTTGAACATTTACGTATCACATGTTTCAGTACGTTTCACTTATTTCGGATCAATACCTTGCATGCAAAAAAGTATGATCATTATCTGATCAATCAATTTGCAAAAATTTGAATCATATTTGTACAACTTCAATTAAGTCTAAAACTTAGCATACCAATAATTAAATCAAAATAATTGCTGTCATGAATTTAATTACCCATCACTTGTCATTACATTTCAAATAGTAGTAATGAAGATATATGAAGAATAACTTTTAACAAAATATTAAAAATCATTTTATGACGAAGATGAAAATGACTATATATGCATTCGTCCATCATGATATATTTTTTAATATTTTATTTAAAATTCTTGATTCTCTTAAGTTATTCCTAACGTATGGAAAATAGAATGAAGAGTAACAGATTGATGCCATCTAACGCGGTAAATAAAATATTATAATAGGAGCAAATTTGCTATTTCACATTCTAACCAAACTCAATCTGGACAAATTGTGATTCGTGATAATCACGAATATCAAAATTGATAACAACAAAGAAGAGTACAACAGTAATGCCATGTAGCAACAGCAATAGTTAATATATAATTTATCTGATCCAATGAATGATTGATGCTTAGCTGAAAAGCTTAAGTTCTATTCAGAATTATTTTTAACCTGACTTTCTTTATACTAGAAAATAGATACTTTACGATGAAAAAAGAAAAAAGACAAGAGGAAAGCTCATATAATCGCTAGAGAACTGCGTTAGGATTCACTAATGAAATCAATATCCAAAATATGGAGTTGTGATAATGCGCGAATAATGCCTTATCATTTTAATTCAGCTAATCGTTAGAAATGTACCAGTAGAAAGGTATGAATTACTTTTATAACGTTGATCTCACCAAACTTCGATATTTACCATCTACAACATTCTGTATATTCTTAATAAAGAATTTAAACGAAAGATCAAAATTTTTTAATCAATTTGACTGCAAATGCATGCATTTGACTTTGCAAATTTTTCCTCTTTTACAATATGGAAATTATGAAATATTCTTGCAAAGATCAATTAACAGCTTGCATGGTGACATCAAACCTATCTCGTGTAGATTCTCGCAATTTTGACACTGTTCGCTTTATTAAAAAAAAAAAGAAAAAAAATCAAGTGAATAACCTCTAATTTTCCGGGTTGAAAATGGGATATCTACAAAAAAAAAAAAAAGAAATTCACGTGACATATCGACCTTAAATTACACTCATAAAAAATGTTTGCGAAAAATGTTAAATGTTTGCGAAGGGGTCATCATTTAGATGAAAAATCGCGCGACGATATAAATGTGTGGGACAATTTCCAGCTGGAAATGTTACTATACATCACCTTATGAATATAAAGTTTAAAATAATTTAGATAAAGTCGCAATATCAAGTTGATCATTGTTAATACATGCGAAATGTTCAAATTCTTCTTACAAGCAAATTTTAAACAAAAACTACTGAAATTTTAAGAATAAAGCTCATGTTTGTTAAGGAAAATAATAAACTGAAATTCTTGCTAGCATATTATCCGTTTCAATTTCAAGTTTTAGAATTTTAAAAATTATTAAAATAGCTATAAACAGAATCATGAAATAAGTTAGCTTCGTTTCATATAAAAATGAGATACCATAACTTTCTGCTCTCTTATTATTATCAATTGTCCTTACTTATGATCCTTCAATCAAACTTTTTCTTTTTAACCTACGAGTCGATGAGTTACGATTGGTTTACCTTATAACTTGCACTTATAAAATGATGCTAGGGAATGTTTTTCAAAGTTCAAAGAAAACTGTCAAGCGAGGCAATACAGTTTCAGAAGACTATTTTTGCTTTTTGCAGAATTGCAGGTTGACAAAATCGATCAGAACAGAATTCAAAAAATGTTTGCAATAAAATGATCAAAAGTAAACAAATTCTTAAAATCCTAATTTATTACAAGTTACTTGATCCCAAATTCTCTCATCTAATGGCTTAGACACAATGGAGCATCAAATGCTAATTATCAATTGATTTCTTTGGTATAAGTTTTAAAATATAGGGCATCATTAAACACCTTTTAGAGTAAGGATTTCAAAAGTTTATAAATAAGTACAATGTTAGTAGATGTAAATATCGAACAGTGGCATTAGGATATGTTAAAGATAAGGATGAATTAATTGTTTGTGTCATACGACAACATGGCATTTATGTATTCCTTTTAAACCAGAAACCATCCCTTGGACAATAAATTCTTAAATTTATTTTCATACCTGTGTAGCAGTTATCGATTTTAAAAATAACAAAGAGGCTTAAAAAAGACTATAATAAGAACATAAAAGATGCATCGGATACTAAAAATTTTGAATTCCAGATAGTTAAAAAAATATTTTTGTAAATCCTGCATCAGAAATGCAGTAATTTATTTATTTATTTTTTTTTTTTAAGAGCTATAATAATAGTAATCTACGGGTCAAAGAGAAAAGTTTTATTAATTTGTCAAACAAGCATTTGGGAAGATAAAAAGCTGCATCGTTTTGCTTCATCTAAAATTATGCTAGCACAATTTAAAGTACCATTGATGGTAAATGAGAAGATCTTAAGTTCCAAACTAAGATGATAATAGAGAAAACATAGACAAGCGATTAAGGGCAATTCTTTAATTTCTCTTCGAAATTTTAAAATATTCAACTTCCACGAGTCTCGATTTTTCTTATAAATAATTAAATATTGAATTAATTTGAGACAACAGTCATGGGGAAGATAACGATAAATGTAAAAGATAACGTAGTAAAATAAGGAATGAATCGTTAACATCTGATCAAATGACATTTAAGAAAGAACGAACGAAAATTATGACTAGAAAATTATGAATGCCCGATAGTTAAGAATACAAAAAATCTAGTACAAAGGAAAGCATTGGTCTGTCGACAATTAAAAATCCCTTATTTGTTGGTAATTCTACAAAATATTAAATACAGCGGATTTAAAGTGATAATTCTAATTCAAAAGCGAGATCCTGTGGAGAAGTCCTATAAATGACAGTACATCTTAAAAAAAAATTACTCCAACCATAACAAGAAGACAATTTTGCTATCCTAAATATTGAAAGCACAATATATTAGCTAAATTCACACTCAATGGATAAATGGTACCGTTATATCACTTTGAATAACGGGTAAATGGTATAAATACGCATTTTGAAGATGAAACTTTGCAAATTTTACGTGCAATCATATTGAACAACTATGTGTTGGGACCTATACTGGTCGATGAAACAACAAAATTAATCCATGAAGAAAAAAAAAAAAAAAAAGAAAAACTCCATGATCTGCTAATGTTAAGTGTAAGATCATAATATAAACCTTATCTGGTAATCTGAAAAAAATTGATTTTACAATCTTCTACTGTTGTTCTCTTCTAATCTAAGTAAACCTCAAATTCTAAAGTAAACCTCACTGTTTTTCATTTAGTCAAATTCTACGAGCTTGTTTCTTCCTCCGATTAATAAATAATTTCCTATAAATGTAATAAATGATAAATCAAGTGATGTCAATCTAAACGAAAAGAAAAATCTGGAAAAAAAAGAGATACAAGGAGAAATGAGAAAGAGGGACAACAGTGCAAGACTTACCGAGCAGTAGAAGTTTGAGTTCACGCCGGGCATTACGTTTATCACGTTGCAATTGTTTTTCAATTTCTTGATTTATACGTTTCTGCTCTCTTGCCTCCTCTGAAAGGCAGCAGGCCATCGGGGCCGTTTTGGCTGCCCGTAAAATGAACAGTTTTGCCGGTTCTGCGTAATCGTCGCGTGAAATACCGAGTACCACGTACGGTTACAGTGACGCGCACTCAGTAAGTTGCCAATCAGAAAAATAGTAAAATTATTAGTGAAATTAACACAATGCCAAAATCGCAGCAAAAGTGAAGCAAATAGCAGCGGAAAACGGAATAGCGAGAAAAAATAGCGCAAATAGCAAAACAGCAAATCGATGGCTTAAAAAAGGAAATATCTTCATTGATCAGGAAGGGAAGTTCTTAATTTTTCTTCAGATTTTGATTCGAATAATTTAATAATATGACAAAAATCTGATAATATCAAAAATTTGATAATTTGATAATATCACATCTTTGTATATTAAGTACTGGCTCTCTGCATCATCAAATTTTGATATATCCTAAATAACAATAAAGTACATCCATAACTTTTTCCTTTCCGATTACTTTTCAATACGAAATTTGATAAAAAAAGTACAAAATCCCAAAGTTAGGAAAAATAATCAATTATCAATGCAACAAATTGCAGTATAGTTTGGCAATTAACATAAATTTTCTTCCAAGTTATGTTCACCGTTGTTTGTGATATTTATAGCATTCCCATATCTATCAAAAATTCCAACAATTTAAGAGTTGAATAGTTTGCTTCGCCCTTAAGTTATGGAATTGAAAATTGAATTTCTTCCCCCAAATGAAATATCGCCCCTTTTACTTTCATTTTCGGTTGACAAGTAAGTAAATGAAATCTACAAACCAAATTAGCGCATAATAGCAAAATCAAGCATTTAACTGTTGCAACAGTTTTCCGCAATTTCGTTAAAATCTGTTAGAAGGAATGATGGCTCGATGGTCCACATCCAAGAAAACAAAGGAGGATAACAATGAATTCCACAATCGCAGATTCCGCCTCTTTATCAATCGTGAACCTGGAATAAAATTAAACAGACGACTGAATAAAACTAGAACTTACATTTTCGTGGCTCCATTTAGAAGAAACGATACTGAAAATGTATAATACAACACCAGTCACACTACCAGAATTAGCAAAACCGATATTTCAGGTTGTACTAACGCGCGAAAAAAAAAAGTTCCCTTACAGCAACAAGAATGCTAGCAGTACAAAGTAGATGAGGAAAACGTGCGCAAATGTACATCATAAAACACATAATCTATCAAAAGCAACACATTAAAAGTTCTACAATTTAATGTAATTACAGAATAACCCTAACTGTAATTTGACATCAGCTAAATTACGAATGCTTCCAAATGATCGGTGGTAGAATTCCAAATGATCGATTCATTGTTTTCGAACAAAATGATGAACTAACGAAATATTATGATATACTTTTATGTGAGCTTATTATGTGAGCTTCCAAAAACTTCTATAAATCAGTAGTTAAATGAGGAAAACATCATAAAAATCAAGCGTACGTATATGTCACCATACGTGGAAATAATGCGAATACGAACGTGAAACATAAAACAAATATCAAAAATATATCAAAAAGAACAAAGTAAAAAAATAACGTTCAATGCTTTAGCGCTATTGAAATGAAAATTGAGCGGTCCATTTAAACATACACCGACATAAACATACGCAGATACACAGACAACATACACACACACACAGACACAGACACCAATACAGACACAGACATGCCAACATGTATACATATACTTGTACACAAACAGAAAAAAAAACACGGAATTGCCTTTCTGAACTATGTGTTCTTTTTATTAGTTAACATGTCGACAGAGGACAGCAGCGGTGACAACAACGATGCCAAACGACGACGTCAATGATGAACAGGCATTGATAGAAATTATGTATGTATGTGAGACAAAAAGCAAAAGTAAGGAAGAGAAGAATTAACATAGTTGGGAGAGATGGAGAAAGGATTGGGAATGCCATAAAGAGAGGACAAACATGACACGGCGGGTGGGACACGTGGCGCACTGCTAAGTGCCCCTCCTTTCGTATCCAGCCGAACGTCCCAAATCTTATCATACACTTCCCTTTTCTCATCTTCCAAAAGACCGCACTATAGACATGCACACATACACATACATACATACACACATGCATATATGCACACATACATATATACACCAGTACATACATGTATATATACATACGTACACACACATACGTCCATACATACAAACATGCATACATACATACATACGTACATGCATACATACATACATACGTACATACATACACACATACATACACACACACACATACATATATACACACACACATACACATATATATGTACATCCATATATACATATGTATACATATACATACATATATACATATGTGCGTGCATACATACATACATCTGCATGCATGCATGCATGCATATATACATACATACACATACGTGTAATGTATAACACAGGTTTTATACATATGTAATACATTATATATGTAGGGAGATATGTATGTCTGCGGATATTCTATTTCTCACAAACTATTTGTAGGGGACTGCATGCATGCATGTCTGGCGTGCTAGAAATATGCCTGAAGCAGATGAACCAGACAGCAATGAGATCTATCGCAGTCTACGAGGAAATCTTCCTGTAGGCAATAAGTCTCCCTCTTTCTCTCTTTCGTATTTACTTGTTTGTTTGTCTGCAAACTATTTGTAGCACATGCACTTTTCCTAAGCTAACAATGTATAAGTTTGCTATTCTCGAATGCAATCATTTAAAACTTCATCCATTTCTTATACCTGCTTTTCTCTCTTTCTCTCCTTCTCCCTCTCTTTTTAAGAGTAGTTTTCTCTCTCTTCCTCACCCTCTCTTTTTACGAGTCGTTGGAAATTAAATAATAGGAAAGGGAATAAGAGGAGAAAAAAATACGGAAAAGAATGGAATGTTAGCATTCTTAGAATAGTTAGAAAGATGTAAACATAACGTTTAGCTTATAATGTTCCTACAAGAGAAGGAGAGAGAGAGAGAGAGAAATGAGAAAAGAAGAAAAGATATTTGAAGAGATAGTCTATATCCGGAGAGTACCATTACTGGAGAATCATCCTTTATGCTTAGTCTAGTTAACAAAGTAAGCCGAAGCAAGCTAGGTCAAACTCGAAGTTCAATGAGTCATGCGGTTATCCACTAACCGCTACACCATCACCATCACCCACCACCACCACTGCCACCACCGCTGCTGCCACCACCACCACCACCACCATCATCACCATTAGCGCACCGCACTCGTAGCTTCTTCAACCATTGTAAGCATAGCATTTAATATAAACCGCAACGCCACCCTTCCACATATTCGTCTATCCCATGCAACATACACACACACATACACACATACATACATGCATATACATACACATACGTACATATATACATATATGGATACACATATGCATGCATGCAATGATAATCTGCTGCCCATCATATTGCCTTACCGGATGAAAGATAAGCGACAAGAGCGCACCAGGACATACTTTTAGCAATCGTTTGCTGTCCTCCTAATGTGCTGCCAATATGCTCATGTCATTGTTAATCATACTTTTCAGCTAAGTATTCTCTCCAATTTCCGGATAACTTTCAATGCTACTACAACCTTCCAATTCAACCAACTGTGAAGAAAAAAATTTTGGGATTAATTAGAAAAAAACTTATTTTATTCCATATTCAAATGTTGCATTTATATTTACCGTTACCATATTTAACAAATAAATTCCATTTGTTGATTATATCCAATTAAAATATCCCATTTTTGCACTATATCATGTCTGAAATAGCAAATTAATACGGATTATATTTTTTGGATTTGAATAATTTCAAGATTCCATTTGCTAATTTGATATTTTAATTCCAATGATAGAAAGATATGTTTACTGCAATCTGGAAAAGATTTTTCTTCTAAATATTTCGAAATTTACACAAACAAATGTCTCATACTTGTAATTAATGAGTTAGCTTTTAGATGAATCACCACTATCATCATCATCATCACTATCATGAAAAAATCGCAACGCATATTGCTTATCATTTGTTGTTAGTGATTAACACAGAGTAATGTAACCGTTGTAATTGCTATGGATAACAAATGTATGAAATGTACAATTTTCTCATTTCATTTTACCTACAGTATTAATTAACTAAACTAATTGATCGTAACTTTAAAACGATCATACGATATCATATGAAAACGATATCCATAGCAATACTGCTGAAAATGTTCTTTCATCCATTGTCATTTCAGTTTCACAATGAAAACAAAGATATCAAATAGAGGACATGCACCGAATTACCTGCATGTTGTCAATTAGATTAATGCTCTTGCAACATGCATGAAGTCTGTCCAATTCTTACAGTCCGTAATCTGCCGTAAATTCATGAAACTTAAGTCAAGTTCATGTTCATTTTAAAGATATCATTCAAATCTTTTGATGCACTATGAGAACATTCGTTAACAGGAAGTTCAGAAATCCTAGAACAGAGATCCAAAAGTTCAGAAACCCTTACTATTGATAAAGTACTATTATACACTTGCATCTTCAATGCCACAACTTATTAACTGATCATTATTTTAAAGATGAAGTCATAGATTCATCTAATTCATCTTACCTAGCCGTACTGAAGCTTTGATTCGTTGGACTTAATCCTTTCAGTCAATTCTCTATAAAAATCACAATTTTAGATAATTCACTCTTTGCGAACCAAACAATAATATTAGAAGTTTCGTCCCTTATGCTTTTAAGTAACCAAAGTTGTGAAAGTTGTTTTAAGTTTCTTGTGAAAAAAATATTCTAAGTTTTTGTCTACGTGATAATATTAGTACGAAGTTTCTTGTGTTTCTTTTTGAAATTAAATCAGATTTCCTAACTTTTTAAAAACTACTCTTTTCAAAACATGTAGAACTTTCAAAACTATAATGCAAACTTATTAACCTCATAGAAATACTAACTTTTGGTTCAAACGATTCCAGGCATTCTGCAGTGAAGCAATCTCATAAAGTTTTTCGCAAGAAATTGTAAGCATAAAAAAGTGACAGATAAATTGACTCCATGAAATCTGAATAAGAATTTTTGGGCAGCACTAAGGTAGCGCAGCAACGGCACTTGGAATGTATAGAGTTTTTCTACAAAAAAACAAGAAACATACTTTTAATAAATTTATCCAACATGAGTCATATTATTATCCAAATATCTAAAACAGAATGTAGCAACATGCAACAAATTTATGTACGTAATTCATGCCAAATGATAAAATTAATAATGGATAAAGTTTCCGATTTTTCATCAGAATACATGAATCGAATGTAGGAAAATGAATGATAAATAGCAGCTACCCCATATTAATCCTGAACAAATTCTTACAAAGTCCAAAATAGCGAAATGAAACCAAAATGTGAGACAATCAGGAAAAAAACATATTATGTGTTACTGAGCATAATGCATAATCTTGCAAAATGCAAACGGAACAAATGTCAGAATGTGTTTGCATTCGACACAAAATGGAAAATCCAAATCATAAATTTCAAAATAAAAAATTATGGCTTAAAAATTGTCAGCAGAAATCGAAAACCTGATCTGAGTGTCTTGAAAGAAAAGATGAAGGGATGAACCTGTCTGTGAGGAAATGAAGCAATGTATTTGCAAACGTGAACAAGCTTAATTTCACAAGTTTGAAAGCTCAAAATACAGATTTAAAGCCTAAAAACAAATGAAAACCACAAACAAAGATCTAAATCAGACTCGGAAATAAAACATTGCTCAAGAAGACAAGTTTCACAATTAAAAATCAAATGAAAATTCGAAATCTTCGGAAAAATTGTTAAAATCCACTGCATAACGGTATAGATGTGTTTCATATTCCAAAAAGAAATAAAACCATTCTTTACTAAACACTGCCATCAAGAAAGAACTTTCAGAATTCTTCTTTGTTACCCTCACCATGTTCTAATTCAGCATAATTCTGCACGACAAAGAACACAAAAATAGCTCCTGTGATAACGAAAAGAAGAATGAGACAGATTTTTCCATAGCTTCGTGACGCCTTTTCCTTATCCACCAAACCACTGAGTCGATTTCCGTGTCCACTGCAGGAATTCTCAAACATTGCTCCTGAACTGTAGCGTGAAGCACGACCGTAGTGAGTTTTCGAATTCTCATCCAGACGTCGTGTCATTGAGCTTTGATTTGAATCATATCCAACGGAGTACGCATGATCTTGTTTCCAACTAGGCAACAAAATACGTGAACTTTCTTCACCACGTAAATCATCATCTGAACCATCACTTACTTTTCCATTCTCCCAATTATCCTATAAATTATATCAGATTGCAAAATCAAAGTCGAAATATACCTGAATCGCAACAACGTGAAATCATGAATTACAGGAAGCAAAAAAGGATATAAGTTGTTATTGTCATGCTACGGTTTCAAGTCTGATTTCCAGAATAAATCAATTCTAGGACCATAAAATTTCCTGATGACTAATCTTAAGGATCAAAAGAGGTTTATCTCATCCTATTAACCAGAAATGATGATTTTAGAAAAAATTCTTTTTCCAAATAAAAAAAAACCTAAGTTACTCGACAGTACATACTTACTCGCAAGGACGTAAAACGTGTTGTAGGTGTAGAATGGCAAACTTCCGGTATCGTTCCAAACGGATAAGACTTGGGCATTTTGAAAGAACTTGAGGTTACATTCAGAGATGCACATTCAGAAGTTACGCTTGCTCTTGATGGCGAGTGGTGAGATTCTGGAACTGCACTCACTTCCGCTTGAGTTTCAAATCCGAGATCTACACATGCTTTTGGAGTAGGAACTGATGGTTGGACAACACGTGGTTTCGGTAATGACTGTTTGAAATCGGAAATAGTGCGTGATTTCGCTGGAGAAACTGCTGCAGTTTTCGGTGACGCTTGAGATATCTTAAAATCCTGCGATATATTTTGCACCTTTGATAGACCGATTACATCTTGAACGGAAGAGCGAGTAGTACGCGTTGGTGAACGTGACTTTTGTGGGCTGGGTGCTACATCCCGACGCTTTGGCGAAGAATTAAGGCTGTCAGTTCTTGCAGCCTCGGATGCTCCTCTCTATAAAATTTACCAATTATCTAAAATTGCCATACACTTTATATCTTATGACTGATTTAGTTAATTTGATAAAATGCAGAACAGCTATTTATACATAACAGAAAACTGGTATTGACACTAGATAGCAGCTAAATACCACTATAACACTCATCCAAATTTGATTTTAATATAACTTAGTATAATTTCAATATAACTTAGTATTCACTGAGAATCTCTCTATCGTGGATTATTAGTTACGCCTTGTCATATTCCCCAAATATATGGATAATTAATGAATTGAAGTAATTCTTTTCACCTCAATAATTGCTAAGCCAATAGATGTTACAGAGAAGGAAGCGAATAACATAGGAAAATTAAAACTTCAATGTTGGTGTAGGAACGTACCTCAGGAGGCACCATAACATTCGATTCCGATTCTTCTAACAAACGTCGTAACTTATTTGCATAGACGTTTCTAGTACTTCCAATGACAGGGCCAGGATCACAACCATGTATCATAAGTTGATCTCGGATTTCTTCATTGGTAAGCTGATCTACATTCACCATCTTGCTTGAAAATAAATAACTTGCTGTTGCTTAAATAAATTTTAAAAAAAACAGGGAAGTGTAAAAGATGATATGAACGGAAAACGCGGAAAAAAACTGTGAAGGAAGTAGAAACGGAAGGAAGGGCTTAGGAAACTAGTGGGGACAAGGTTTACAAACATTAACCACATTACTTATATTAAAATTTAACCATGAAAATTTAAAATTCTCAGAGAATACTACAAATTATACGAGAAAGATGGATCAACAAAACAAACAACAAATACATTCGTTACATCCAGATTTCAAATGCGTGAATGTAGTGAAAATGTAACATCGTAATGAGCACAATTAGTGATTATTCGAATCTCAAAATTCTTCTTTTCCAATATTTATAAGCAAAATTTTGAAATCTTAAGGTTCATCAATAACTGATAAGAAAGTGAGAGTACATATCACACAGCATGTTACGCTTTCACATATCAGCAATCATTGGCGTGCTAGCCAGCGTTAAGTAGAGGATGTGTTGTAGAACAGACATAACATCACACAATAGTAAACTTGAAAACCTTATCTAGGAGGTAACATTCCGGATCCGGCTGGTACCAGATTACACCAAAAACCCAGCAAATACTTCCACAAACAACCAATGGGTCAGCCCTAAGTTCAAAACAGGAGTGGACCAGTTTCAGCGCCATAGAATTATGCATCGTAAGATACAATGTGGCTCGGACCGGATATTTTGCGACTTCACGTCACTTATTAAGGTGCAATTGGATTCGGATCCGATTAGCATTTGTGAGTATCGGGATGGATGTGCCGGTCAAATTGTCAGTTCGCTGTTAAATTTCAATTTCAAAGTTGTCTCAAAGGTTATAGTAAAGATGTATCGTTATTTACTACCGGATGTGTTGATATATATATTTATTAATGATCGATTAAAAAGTTCAAAAAGTGCACGATATTTTGATACCTAGCTTAACTTGATTTCAACAAGCATAAAGTAGTTTTTTTTTACTTGACAGTTTTTTGGGGACTTAATGATTGCTCAATGAATAATTAACCAAATTTGAGAATAATGGATCATTTTCTAAAGTTTGCTCCATCTTACAAACTACAGAATACAATGATAATTAGTCGTTGTATTCTTATTATGATTGTAAGTGATACATTTTCATCACTGATATGGTTAAATCGTTATTATCACGAATTTAATTAGCTCTTATAGTTGATGTGATTTACTCTTGCCTTATATCCTATCTCGAATTGATAGAAATTTGTTGGCTGAAAAAAAAGTAGCATGTTCAGCTAGAAGTGAAATAAAAGTAGTACCACTACAATTTTCATTCTGAATTTTTCAAAATGACATGATTAATCTTTCGTGAAGTTAACTCACAAGAAATGTGATGGTGAAATTAAAATTGGCAGATGTAGGAAAAGATAAAGGTAAATGGGACAAGTTCTGATTTCCAGAAATTATTTGAAATTTATGCATTTATAATCCAAGAATTTCGTTTTTTTTCTTTTTTTTTGCTTTTATTAATGAGTTTAAATTGGTAAAACCATCGTTAATAGATGGATGATATCATGAATTGATACATATCATGTTTCGTTAATAGATATGATAATTTCTAATATACTGCAGAGTAAACTGATAATTTTTGATAAGAAATTGATAATATACCTGGTAAGAGTAGATAGCTTAGATGTTAATAAATTTTAAAGTTTTCAAATACACTTTTGTTAAATTGTCAAGTTGATGGTATCTTATAGCAAGTTTGTATTGCATACCTGATAGCAAGTAATATATTTCATCAATAACTAGTGATTCAGGCCATATTAATTAACTAATTAACGTGTCATCTTCATATTATAACAAGGTGGATTTTTTTCTTCCTCCTCTTACTTAATGCTATCGTTTTGTGAATATATTCTGCTTAAATAGAACCAAAATGATATATTAGTTATGGAATAATATACATAATGGATAAAGAAATTGTTTGGTTCTATAGAAAATTGAGATTTTATTCTTGCTAAATATCCATATAACATAATGTTATATTTTGGACAGTACTGATGGTTGTGGCGAAAGAGTTATTTAACTTTTTTTTTTGTTGTGACTGAATTTCTTCAATGATAGAGAAAGAAGTAAATGGTTTATGACTGATTACGACTCTAAATTTCCAGATTTTACGATAATTTATCATGAATTCACCAATTAAATTTATTTTATTGATATTTTCAGATGTTGGAAGGTATAAATGAGGGATGTGAAATGACTCGTTCACATGTAGATGATATATGCTTCGATTTAACTCTCGGAATGCCATCACTGGAGCACGATTACTTATCTGCCAATGATCCGATGCTTACCAGTTCATTGGCCAAAGCTTTTGATGCTGATGCACGGCTTACTGCTATCATCGATGATGTTGCTAACGCTGATCTATCTCAATTAAGTATTGGATTGAATGAAGTGAGTTTCTTTTATTCCTCAAAATTCATGGATAAAATTTTGAATTTTTAAAATTTAAAGCTCTATATTTAGAATGATGTTTAGTGAATCAGTTTGGATCGTGAAGTCTGTCTCAGCACTGGTCCCAACAGATGAAACCTTGGGATTTCTTTTAACGAAATATTGAATTACTGGGAGTCTGAGTGCGTAACGCGAAGGATTCATTCTGCCAATATTTTTGGATGACTAACATTATTGGTTTTTTTCCGGTAACCATCCGAAGCATGCTGTACTAATTGGCCATCCTAATTAACGCGATACTAATTGATGTACTAACGAAATAGATGATCTTGGCCAAGTTATTGTATCAGTAATGAAATGCTGATAGTGATTAGGGTATTAATGAAATTAGTCTAGTTAACAAACTAATTCTAATGAAATTCGCTTGGAAATTTGGGAAAAGTAGAGTTAGCTATTCCTACGTTCTCGTCAAAGACTATTCTGTTTCAAGTTGGAAATGTTGCAAAAATTGGAAAAAAAATTTAGGATCCTACAAATTCAACAACGATGAACAATGGTATAATTCAACAAAAATGGCTATCAATGACGCCAACGTCTTCTAGGAAAAAAGCAACTGTTCGTTGACTAAAATATTGTTCAGAATTAAGATTTTTTTTCCATTAATGATACGTTTAGTGCGATTGAGCTTATTAAAACGTAAAATAAAATTTGGTACAGCCCAAGCTGTATTATTCTTTATCAAAAGTGACTGACTCAGCGAACGCAATATGTGGCGGAAGAATGTGAAATGTATTCCTCATCCAAAAATTGCTCTCTGAATATAAGCATTTTCATTTGTAATTTATAACTTCCATCCTTCTATTTAGATAGTTACTTGTGAATATTGTGGTGTTATGCTTAAGCATCCTTCGAAAATTGAAGCCCACCGACGGACACACACTGGCGAAAAGCCATTTCAATGCCAGATTTGCGGTTCAAGGTCTCTATTATCTTTTTTGGTTTTCTTGCATTATATATATTTCTTCATCTTTGGTTTCAATTTTCCGTTTTTTGGACGAGATAGATTTATGCTGTTTTCGCAGGTTTACACAGCGTACGCCAATGCGAATGCATGTACGACGTCATATGGGCCTAACGCCTTATGTGTGTTCGTGGGGATGTGGTAAACGTTTTGTTTCAAATGCACTAAAGAATGCGCATGAGCTGAAAACCCACATGGGAGCTAAAAGGTTTGATGTGAATTTATAAAATGATATTGAATTTGTTTCGAATTCAAATTATTGATTTGCAATATGGATAAATTAAAGGGCAAAGTATTAAAAAAAAACGAAAACAAAAAACGGTTTATTGACTAACATATATATATATATATATGGCCATATCTAACTGCTCTTATGGCGGAGTGAAAATTTTGAACTTTAGACGTGGTCCACCTCGACCTCATCTTAAGCCACCAAGGTGTCCGGTACCGATAAATATAATTGAAAAAACTGGCAACAGTGAAGGAAGCGCTAATGTTTCTAGTCGTCATGCACGTTCGGACGAACAACTGTCACTGAACCCGGATACTGATAATAGGCAAATAGATGAGGTATATTAAATAAGATGTTTCTTGATTTTAAAAGAAAACAGCTTCTTGCAAATTTTGCTTCTTGCGAATTTTTTTCTGCAACTAATAATAAAATTAAAATCTTTTTTTAAAATTTGTTTGATAGGCTCTTAAGCCTGCAATTTTTTTATTCATATTAAAAATTTTTCATTCAATTTAACCTCTCTTAATTGCTGGATTAGAATTTTTCGAAAATTTTAATTTTCTTGCTTCTGTGAAAAATTGTCCTAATACAGATAGTCGATGAGGTTGATGCTTCAAATTCTTTCCCAGCGGAGCAAAAAATTAAATCACATCGAAAGAAGGCTTTGATAGCTCGATGTCAGGAATGTGGTTTGCTTCTAAAACATCCTTCCAAAATTCAAGCGCACATGCGAACACATACCGGTGAACGTCCATTTGAATGTGCTTTATGTGGGATGCGATTTGCAACTGCTAATCCGTTAAGGGTACACTTTCGTCGCGCACATACAGGCTAGCTTTTCCTCCTTTCTTTAAAGAAAAAAAACGAAAGAAAAAAATTGCGTTGTTTTACTGCTAATTCGTAGCTGATCTTCAGCAATGATTGTGTTGTAGTTGATTGGTCGGTATATATGGTGGTACCACAGGTCAGTATTATGTCATTTTACAACTGCCAATAAAGCTTTGTAGGATTCAAGTCGTATATTCACAATTATACCACGGTTTACTTGTTAAAGTACTGTTTTTTATTTCTTCAACAGTAATTATTTAGCCGGTTGCCTTTCCAAGTTCATGAAAAATACATCATTTGTGCAGTTAGCTCGAACTGTTTCATCTTACTTTAGTGAAAATGAAGTGAAGCATACCATAATTCGGCATATAAGATATATCGTTAGATGATAACAGACACTGGGAAATTTGAAGTGAAAGATTCGATAAAATTATATTGAAGTAAATGAAATTTTGCAATTCGTTGTCAGAATAATGTCGAAATAATTTTAGGTGAGAAACCATATGAATGTACATGGGAGTGTGGACGACGTTTCGTTTCAGTGTCCGCCCGTAATGAACATGAACGAATCGTACACGCAGGTATCAAAAGGTACAGATACACGGAGATTTTATTGTTCATAAAGTTCCAAGAAGAAATGGAAAGGATGGTTGAATACTAGAAGGCATAGAAGGCATCTAATTCTTCAGATATCGTTGTTCCATCAATAACTGCCATCGAATGTTTACACGACGTCGTTATTTAATAATGCATCAAGCAAAAGAGCACAAGCATGCTACGCAGCAAGCTGATAACGCTATCCAGTCGGTTCTGGACATGGTAAAACAAGATAGAGAAGAAACCAGGAGGAATGCAGTGTGGTCTTCTGAAATGTAAGCTTTGGAAGTGCATCATGTTAAATTGTAAATTTTGGAACAAACACTCATATTTCGAGGTTTCAAAATTCTTGTATTATCTTTCAGTGTTTTTGAAATCAATTTTCAGTAACATATGAACAGAGTATTTAGCAAATTATCTTTCTGCTCCATAATTCTTACAGAATCGAAGAATCTATTTGAAATACAAAGGAAGAATTAGAAACTTTTTGAAACTTTTTCAATTTCTACTTATAATTTCTAAAATCTTTTAGCCAGCTACCTTATCTTATCCCTTATTTTTCCTTTTCTGATATTCTGTTAAAAGAAAATTGCATGTTGCAGACCGGATAACCGTATTATAGAGAAAATTTGGATCGAAGATAGAGTTTTGAGTGGGGAACAGGTTTGTTATCATTGTCTTCACTTATCTCTTTTTAGAAATTAAATTCTTTGTAGATTTATATAATAACTGAATAAGTTTCCTTTCCCTAAAATCTTAACGGCTAATGGATTAAACCACTAACACCATAAATTTTTTCGGACTTGTTCGTGTGCAAACTGCATACCACCAACAGGATTGTGCTTCATTGAACATTCAAATAGTTTTATTATTCTGAATTCAATTTCATCAGGTTGATGAACAATATATTAATGCCGGGAATGGAAATAGCAGTGCTTTGCTTGAATGTGCCAGTGTTGGAGTTGTAAAAGCACCAGAAAATGATTTGTCGAATGATGAAAGCTGTCGACAGGTTTCATTATCTTTGTTTCAACCACACTAAATTTTAGTTTTGGAAAAAGAAAATATTTAAAGATTCATTATGAGACGATTTTGAAGAAAATGAACTCATACAGTCGTTTAAATAAATTATTGTAACCTTATGACATATATTTTTGGAAAGAGAGGCCATAGATGTGCAAATTTTTATTTGTATGTTATTTGGGAAATCATTCCAAAAAATTCATAGGATTATGGAAGCGAAAAATGCTATTAACAAAAATAATTCTCCATTTTTCCATTATTTCTCCCCTTTTGTCTGATTTGAATGTATTTCACTGGCTGTTGGTTTTTGGAAGAATCCTGTTATTCGGATCTCTCTGAATTAAAAAAACTCAGAATTATGTGTTATGCATTGTGCAAATGTTTTTTTTCTTCCTTTAAAATTTTTGGTTTTCTGAAAATACCAATTGTTTTGAGGTGATAATTGATGGAACCGATGATGATGCTGCACTGGAAAGGAATTATTTTGTGGGAACAAATGAAGTATATTATCTTGATCAAAGTCATGGAATTCGGTTGGGGTATAGCGAACAACAGCAGCAGCTCTCTGGTGATCATCAATTTGCAAGTGAAACAGGACCATCTATCGTTTCTCCTGATATCAGTGTAAGAGCGCTAGATAGGAATGTTTATGCAGTTTGTGAAGAAAGCACCACAGTTTTGCCTAAATATGGTCGTGTTCGAATTATTAAACCAATGACGAAAATACCTTATGAGAAAAACTATTGAAGATTTATAGTGTACAAAGATGCATTATCATTGCTTGATCATTTTTCACTCTAATATTGTATACTATTAAGGACTACAGCAATGAATGTAATTCGTTATTTGTTTATACGACAGGAAACTTTTAGTTATAGGCATTTCCATTGTAATATATATAGGAATTGACTTTATGCTCTAAATAAAAGTAATGACTTCAGAAGGAAAGTTTTTGTATTGGAAATTTCCGTCTTGATTACTAACTTTTGATGCTATGTTCTTTGGGAGTATAGATTGTTTCTTTGATTTCTGCTATATTTTATACATAAGAATTTTCTATATTGAAATAGGTTGAATGTGATAAATTCTGCTACCGATGAATAATGGTAACGTAAGCATATTTCAGCAAAATATTCTGCTTATTATCTAATTTTACTTAGCTTACCTACCGTCTTTTGTTTGACTAACTTGTTTGAAATCTACAAGAACAGATATCTTCCATGCAGTCCATGCAGTTACATGATTTGCATTTACAATCAACAAATTATGGATGATTAGTTAAGTTAAACAAAAGTCAGAATACGTAAAATTAGGAATAGTTTTTTGCAAGATTAAACAAGGCAGAAGTAAGCGTGGTTCAAATTATGTGGAAAAAATTTCTTTTACTTAGACTTCGTTTTATTGCATCAGCTTTTTCTTTGTTGTCTGTTTTCTTTTTTTTTTGTTCCATCCATTCTTTTATATCTGTATGATAATATTCCAGAAAGCAATTGCAATATATAGTTCAAATATGGTTCAGAAAGGAAGAAATTTAGTTTTTATTTGCAGATATTGATCAATCGATGTATCAGCCAAAGGGGTGGGAAACCGGTACGTTGTGTCCGTTTATGAAAATAAATGACCTCGGGAAAAAGCTCGATGTACTGTGTCATCCACGTCAAGTTCATCCGCAAATCGCAATGCTTCGAAGCTTTGCGGCGTAAATGCGATTGTATCACGTCGTTTTTTTTGATTGCAAAGATCGTTGCAAAACGAGCTGTATTGCATTTCATTCAAAATCTGCAGCAAACATTTTTCGCATTATGAATGCATTGCGTTTCTTTCTTTGCCAAACATAGATTCTTGGGGAAGGATAAAGAATTTAGTCATTTTTAGATAATTTGGACAAAATATAAATTCTACAATTAAAAAAAAGAGGAAAAAAACTATCGTTATGGGTGGAACGTCGTTATCCTAACAGAAGGCAATATCATTTGTGCTGAAGATAATATGCAAATATGGTAATACCAACGTATACGACTAATGATATGCTGTTGATTAGATTTGTTTTATGATTTGGAATAGATATTATTTTGCCTACTTTATGATCAAGTTTGCCAGTTATTGTCCAAGATTCGTTATCAACACTCTATAAATGCAAAAATTAAAAAAGAAAAAGAAAGAAAAAGAGCAAACCCCTATGATATCTTCTGAAGTTATATTGTCTTTCTTGGGATGTAATTGGCGTATTGCAATAATAACTTTCAGTATTTCAGTAAGTTCTCTCTTAAAAAACTAAGTTATATTCAATACAATAACCTCAATCTGAACTCCTTGTTTATTGATCATAAAATTTAGCAACTTTTTTTTTTTTTGTTATCGATAACGGAAATATCAAATTCTTTGCCTTCACTGATTTAAAGCTAAATGTTACCTTAGATAACCTGTTTGATATAAATCTGTAAACAACAATAATTGCCAAAATTGCTTACACTACGTCGCTTTTCCTTTGCTATTTGTTGTCTACGCCAGGAAATTTTTCGGCCAAAATAATGAATTTTCATGAAAACAGCTCTTAGTTCAGAAGCTGCCAAATTACCGCACATGGATAATACAGCAAGACCTAAAATATTTAGCAATTTATGTTTTCTTCTCAAGAGGCAAGGGATTCATTCAGTCGAAAATTGCTAATACTATTCCACTATTTGTCTAATTCAGAAACCGGATTTGTGATAGTTTGACTAGGAAATTTATTCAATCCTAACTTAAGACGATAATGTTATCTGAAGGATCACATAAATTATTCTATTACATGGGCAAAGCTGAAGTCATATTCATCTCGAAGGTATTATTTAAACTTCGGAATTAAAGTTTAGATAAGCGAGAGATTTTTACTCTTCTTGTATTCTCAAATATCATGTATAATAATACTAATAATTTAAGACATCTTAGTCATTCGTAGCAAGCAGTAAAATATTGGTTGACAAATGATAGCTTTTTTTTGTTAAATTTTGTTAAATTTGAAAATGGGAAAAAGTTGCAATTACCAAATGTGACAAAGATTAGGATGTAGAAAAATGTCAGGATATTATTCAGATCGTTAGGCATTTCAGCCATTGATAAATTGGCTACTAAATTGAACGTAACAAAGAATGCTTCCAAAAAACTTTTTTGACCACCTGAAGATGTAGAAAAAGAAATTATATAGCGATTTCGAAATTACAACTTTATCAGTCATAAAAAAATCAATAAGCCGATTTCATGCATTATTGATATTAATAGTAATTTCGAAATAATAACTTTATCAGTGATAGAAAACGAAATCAGTTTTATGCATTATTGATATTAATAGCAATTTTGAGATTATAACTTTATCAGTGATAAAAACAAAAACAAATTTTATGCATTATTGATACTAATATATGTAAAATTGCATCCATTTCATAAATTGTCATCATGGGGTTCATTCGGATTACATTTATGTTAAATTTAAATACTTCCCAACAAATTATATGTAATTCTATATGTTAATAGTCTAACAATAATATTAATCAAAATTTTTAAATGCTTTTTCATCTTACCGGCGACAATATAGCACATACCGCCAAGCATGCAAAATACAAGTAAGATTGAAGCATTCACGGATAACGGTAAACCTTTCATTTCAGTATTACTTTCCTTCATCGACACTATCACCTCTTTACTTTCTTTCTTCCGTTTCCTACAACAATTTCCGGAAATTTTAAAGTTATCAAACCATTGTTGTACTACATTGATATTGACGGATTATGAAAATCTTAGATTGGAAAAAAAAGATCAACAATTTGGATATTCTTCCGGAAATAATATGAATTAGCTTTCCCGTAATATTCGAATAATGTTATGGTACTATTATGATACTTTTTTCTTATTTCAAATTTTATCCAACAAAATGTTTTTTTTAATAACCGAATTTTTGGCACATGTGGAATACTCTTTGTTTCCATTAATTCCATAACAAATTGCTTCTTCTCCGAACAACCACATGCTTTTCCAATTTTATGCTTCATCATACAGTACTGCAATATTTCAAAAACGTTACTTCAAAAATATAAGTTTCAAATTTGAATTCCTTAAAATTGTTCATTTTAACAAGGACATCGATTTTTTTTTTTTTTCTCAACAATTAAATCATTTCAAAACAATAATCAAAAAACAATTTTTGCATAAATGAAATTACTTTTTGATAAAGTAATAAGACAATATCAGATAAGAAATGTCCAATATCAACCGCTGCCAATACCATCAATGGAATGCCAATCAATCCATAAACTATAGCAATAAATTGTCCAAATTTTGTCATCGGTACTGCTGATAAATAACCTGTTGTTGTCTGAAATTTCAAATATTAACCGTTAAATTTAATAATGAATTAATTCCCGAAAAAAGTTATTAATAGAAGAATAACAATTGTCAGATGTAATAAGTGGTAATCAAAGAAAAAAATAATAGCAATTTAAGTAATTTTAATAATAGTAATTTTAATAGTAAAAAATGGTAGTAATTCTTGAATACAACTTTTTTTTTGAATAGAGTTAAAAATTAAAAAATAATTCATCATTTACCAGAATTGATAATGCATATAAAATTGATGGTATTGCAGTCCATTTTGGTGAAATCAATTCATCCAGTTGATTAACATCGGGATTAAGCAAGAAATCTCGTCCTTCCATAACAGATGATAACCTATAAATAAATCTTTTAAATATTTTAAAAGAAAGTAAAAAGGAAGAGAGAGGGAGAGAGAAATAATGAATTATTTGAACAAATCCTTAAGAATAAAAAAATTGATGTGATTCTTCTCAATTTTCCATTTATCATTTCTTTCAAATTTTTTCTTTTTTCTTTTTTTTTTTAAAGAAATGATAGAAAAATTTTTAAGAAAAATTTAAAACAAATGATTTTTTTTATTTCAAAAGTTTTTAATTTCTTTTAATTTTTTAATTCTTTCTTTAAGTAAAAATTTTTCATTTTATTTTAGGAGTATTTGAAAAGAATGAATTAAATATATTCTTACTTTGAGAGTATTTGAAATAATTTTGGTTTAAAATTAGTCTTTTTTGATGCAATCCAACATTCTTCACTTGCAATTTCAGCAATCTTCTGATACGTATCATGAATTTTTAATAATTTACTCATTTGTTGTTCACGATCCGCATTATCCTCTACTCTTCAAAATTATATTTAAATAATCTCTTTTGTTTTAAATTTTTTACCTATCAAAAACTAAATTTAATATGGAATTTGAAAATTTTTGAAGAATTTATTAAATTTCCTCATATACAATTATTATAATAATTTCAATTAAATTAACATTAAATTATAAATTAATTTATTTATTTTAGGAAAATTTCATCTAAAAATTAAATTTCATCATTAGTCAATTAATTTGTAAGAGTTCAACTGAAATGTTAAATTAACCAGTTGAAATGACAAATTCAAATTTAAATTTAAATTCAAATTTAACAAACGTTGCAAATATCCATGCTCCAGTCATTAGATATAAAAAAATGAAGAAATACAAACCACAATGTGGCAAAACCATCTTTGTAAACTAAAATTTAAATTAGAAGAATGAATAATGTGAAGGAACAAAAAACAAAAACAAAAAAAAAAGTTATGACAGTTATATTGTGACAATTTGTAAAGAAATAAATTTGAAGATGACAAAAAAAAATGTCCACATTGTTACAATAAATTTCATTATTTCATTTACTCTTGTCAAATTGTTTCATCAATTTTAAGAAAAAAAACAAAAACAAAAACTTAATAAATTATGAAATTTCAAATTGAATTTGAATTATAAAAAACCTGAATAAATTTTCGTTTGGAAAAGCATGACAAATTCGGCATCTTTTATTTTGATGAAAATGGATTAAAATGCAATATGTTATATACCATCTGGAAATTATTTTCACATCAATAATCTAATTAGTAATATCTAATTAGTTTGCAAAAGATATGTAAGATAAGATATGTATTTGTATGTTTGAAGCCTAAAAATTTGGTCAAATAAATCTAGATAACATCCTAAATGTAGTAAGCAATGAAATTTGGAACAGTGAAATAAAAGGGAAGGAATAGTTGTTGACAGAAAAGCATGCGCTAAGGGAGCTGAAATTGAAAATGGAAAAAGTTCGAATTTAATAAATTAATCCATGATATATTTCATTTTAGTGTAAAGAAGAAAAATTGCATAAGAAATGATAAAATTAGAAATAGAAATAAGGCTCAGAAATTTGCATTCTATGGAAGAAATGGCCAAATGATTTTGGTTAAAAAGCCATTTAAAAATTTAATTCCTGAAGAGACCAGAGAGAGAGAAAGGGGAAAAAAAAGTACATTCTCTTAAGTTAAAGAATTTTCATTTCCTTAGCTTACTTGTCCCCCGTCGTGAATCATTACATTTTCCTTTTTTTTCGTTTTTTGTTTTTGTTTTTTTTGCTAAATTTGATTTGTTGGACTATATTGATAAAATTTCATGCATCCATTTTATTGATTTAGTTTTTTTTTTTTTTTTTTAACTTAAACAATTTGCACCATCTGAAATTGTTATCATATAACTGTTTTCAGTATAGAGTCAAATTCAAATAAATAAATGTTTAAATCTGAAATGTTATGACGCAAATTGCTCAACCTGAATGGTTAATGTTTGAAGGAATAGTGTTTGGTAACTGTTGGGAAGGAATCATTTATTGGATAATTATTAGTGCTTAATAATATATTACTAATTACTACTTTATTGAGAAATAATATTACAGAATTAGTCGTGGAATGTTTTATGCATTTAGAAAGTGCTTTTAGTGATTTAGTGATCTTAGTGATAGATTTTTTTTGTTGCTTTAAATTCAAGAATGTTATTTTGTATTTGTTAGCACTTTCGAATTATAAATTTACCTTATTTGTTAAGCAAATAAGGTAAATTGTCCAAGTATTTTCTATTTTTTTATTTGTTAAGCAATATAATCATATCATTTTTATTCAATTAATGGTATTAAATTTGCAGTGGTGTTTTTAAAAAAAACAATTAATAATATTAAATTTTCTATTAAATTTTTCTTATTTACTAACAAATTTATCGTTCCAATTTATCTAATTCAAATGGGAGCGCTAATGGTAGAATTGAATTTATCTGATTCAAATAGGAGTCGATACCGTTTCTCTTCCATCATAGATGAATATTTCTCCTTCTTATAATAGGAAATTTGTTGTTGATTGCCATCGAATTCTGAACCATCCATAAGAATATTGCACATTGTTTACGGTTCTCCATGGCGATATCTGTTGAAAATCCTTCCCGCTTAATCTTTTCTTATCGAGAACTTTACAAAAGTGTGAGATAACTGCTGAAATAATAGTTTGATCTGATTCCATAGTAGAGAAATTCTTAGGAAAGCTTTAGTACATACCATGCGAGTGATATTACTACATTTGAGTGCTAGTATCCTTACATGAGCTTTGGTATAAATCGCTATCTTGTTTATCGTGAAGTTTGCAGTGAATTGATCATCGCAATTCCATTTCTATGGAAGACTAAGCGGTATTCCAAATATCCATTTGCAATTTTCAGTCGAAAAAATTGATAGGAATAGTGAAAGGTAAATTTTTTGTTATAGTACCTGATTTAATAAGTTCTCGCTCTTTTTGTGCTCCTCTAGTTCTGAGAGCGATTGGTTCCTCGCTTGGTTTATACCATGTTGTTGTTGTTCGGACTTCTTCACTGCCCTCTTCTTTTACTTCCACGAGATAAAGTAAATTGATTGGTCATTTGAGGTGTTTTCCATTGGGGGTTTGCACCATTACACTCCTAACTTCTCCATCCTTTCCAATATTAAGCTCTTGAATCTTTACTAGCTTCCACATTCCTCTTGGTAGTCCAGGTTCATTTAATAATACTATTTCACCACGACGCGGAGTTCTTTTTTCCACTCTTTTGGGAGATACTATTTCTCTCTGGGTACGTTTTCTAAGACCATTCAGGTATTTGTTTTTCCAAATTTCCCAAAATATGTCTGATGTTTTGAGAGTATTAGACCAATAGTTGACCAATTTTTCCTTAGTATTCAATGGGTGAAGCGTGAAGTCATCTTGTATATTTCTTCATCTGTTAATATATTTAATGAAACATATGGTGAAATGAAATCAATAGGTCTTATGACTCTGTAATCATCAAAATTTAAGTAAGTTAATGGTCGAGTATTAAGCATTCCTTCAATTTCTACTGTTAGTGAGATGAATTCTCTTTCCCATAAAAGTTTTCTACCTATTGCCCTTTCGAGCGCTCCCTTCGTTAGTCCAATCATTCTTTCATAAACTCCTCCGCTCCATGGTGCTTTGGGTATAATATTTTTCCATATCATCCCTTTTGAAGCAATAAAATATTTGTTTTGATCTATGATAATTCTGAATACAAGTTGAAATTGACTAGCATTGTCGCTTAGAACAAGTTTAGGATACAAATCTACGGGATATATGCATGAACATTTCCGCTGACGAGTTTTCGACCTGTTCTAAGTGAACTGCCCTTGTGAAAAGCATGTGTAAGCATGTGAAAAGAGCTATCCACCTTTTGGCTATTCCAATGTCAATCTTAATTGAAAGTGGTCCCAAATAATCAAGACCAACCTGTTCAAAAATTCTTGATTTTTTAACGCAGGACTCTGGTAGATTTGGCATTAACGGTAGTTTGAATGGCTTTGCTTTCCATCGTTTACTTGCCATGCATTCATTTATAATTCGTTTTACTGCTGATCTACTGCTTGGTATCCAAAAGTTTTGTCTTAATTCACACAGTGTGTGTCCAATTCCTGCATGGTAAAGCTCCTCATGCCCGTGTTTAATAATAAGTTTAGTAATGTGATTGTGGTTTGGTAAGTAAATAAGAAATTTACTTTCCATATTTAAATCTGCGTTCTCTAGACCACTCTTTGATCGCCATAAGATATCCGTTTTGTCGAAGTATAATTTCCAAGTGTTTATTTGTTGCTCGCTTATTCCATCACATTGTGCTTGTTTGATCAGTATCCACTTCATTTTATCATAATTACCCTTGGACATAAAATCTTTACCAGTAGACATCGACTGCAACCGTAGTATCTTTCCCTTGAGACTTAGCTTGATGAATTTAAGAGCCCATGGGGTTACTTTTAGTAATCCAGTCCATTTACTGAAATGACTTGCACCTATGAATTGAAAGTTTTTCGATTTAAAAATTCACTTCATTTTTGTAATTGTTGCCATAATAGCTGTATTAAATTCATCTCCCCTTGCACAACTGAATTTCCATTGCAACCATTTAGTTTTTGTCTCTGTTAGCCAATTTGGGTTGCAGCCATTTAGTTTTTGTTTCTGTTAGCCAATTTGGGCCTTTCCACCATGATTCACAATTTCGAAGTTTAGCTGGTGACATTCCTCTGTTTGCTACGTCTACGGGATTGTGTTCACTTGGAACATATCGAAAGGTAAAATCTGCCTTTCAAATTTCTTCAACCCTATTTTGAACGAATCGAGGAAGTAGTTTAGAATAATTCTTGATCCAAAATAAAGCACATTTTGAATCGACCATAGGATCACAGGTATATCCTTCAATTTTAATTGTTTTAATACAAAATGTGCGGCTCGTACTCCAATGAATAATGATAGCAATTCGAGCCTTGGTATAGGTATGCCTTTAATTGGAGCTATCCCGAATTTAGCATATATTAGAAATGAAGTTCCTTTCATAGTTGTATTTCTTATATTGAGAACATTTACTGCAGCGGCATATGCGAAATTAGATGCATTAGTAAATACGTGTATCGCCAATTGATTTGCAAGATTTATTATGAATCTCGGTAAGTCGATCACATTGGATGGCCATTTTCTTGTCATCTTGTACCATTGCTGTTCATCTTCTTGGATTAAGAGTTGATCCCAGGTTCTGTTCTGCTTCCATAAATATTGGAGAAATAGTTTGAATGAAATCATCGATGGTATCAGAAACCCTAAATGAGTCATATTGCGAGACGATGAATTGTAAAGTAGTTCTCCTAGTGATTTGTTTTCCGGTCCATAGTTTTAGTGTTTGTACGAATGATATCTAAACCATGGATCCAATTAATTCCAAGAAAATTGTTCTTTATAGCTTTTGGTTTATCATAATCGGCCATTCTTTCATTAAACTCTTCATCGTTAGGAAGAAATTCTTTGACATTCACTGCCGTTTCACTGAAAATTTTTCTTTCGTCATATTTTATTAGAGCTTCAATTCCATTTGCCAATAATGTGATGTTGCCCACATAGATATTCCTCCTTATCTCGGAGGCTGTCTTGTTAGCACAAGTTTCTAGATGATAGTTTAGTGTAACCGATAATAAAAAGGGTGATGAGATGACTTCGAAGGTCTATAAGTCTATAATAGTGTCTATAACATTTTATGACCTCTTCAGTGACATCTTGGTAATATCTTGTAAACAAAGAAATCTAGTAGAATCTCTATCCTCCGGATATAATTCTATTTGTAAAAATGCCATTTCAATATCGGCAATTATTACTATTTCCATCATT